ACAGATTATATATAGCAGCATTTCATCGATAGATTATAATGGCAAGCTTTCGAACAAAATTCAAAATAGTTTTTTTTCAGGTTCTTGAACAGTTTGTGGAAATTGTTTTTTGATGATGCCACTTTAAAGAGCATAAAATTCTTAATAAAATAAGAGGTCGCTGCATTTTTTACGATTGTCCTTTGGGAAGTTACATCTATCACAAAAAAAAAGAAGAAATTCATTTTTTAGCCGATTTTCAACGATTTTTTGATAAAAGTTACTTTTTTTTTCGTGTGTTTTGATGCCTGTAACTTCTCAAAGGAAGATCATCGTTTATCAGATTATAAAACTTTCGACTTAGTCGACAATGGAAAATTTAGTTTGACAAAAAAAACATATTTCTACATTGTAGAAAGTATTGTTGAAAATCAATATATATTCTATTAAAAACACCATAAAATTTATAATATATTGGCGTTCGACAGTGCTTGACTAAGCTCTCATTAATTTTCATTGATTTTTTTTAATCTCCAATTCAGTCTGATTCTCTGTCACTGAGAGAAATATGAATGCAGATGTTAAAAAAAAATGTATTTCTACGTAATTATGTATGTGATAGATTTGTTTTAAAACGATTCCTAATAGATTCTACCAGAAAGTTCTCATTATCTCGAAAAAAAAATCAAGTTAGTTTCATCAACATAATCATAGTTTTGAGGTTCACAACTTAGAATAAATTTTTTAAAATCTTATAAAGGTATGTCATCACCAATGATTGGTGTTGTAATTATAAATCGAATTGTTTTTTCTATTGAAAATCTTTCAAACAATATATTTAATGATCCTGATATTTATTTTGCATTAGCAATAACTGATGGTATTGCTGATTGTACACAAGCACTTATATGTTCACCTGTTGAACTTATTAAAACACGCTTACAAATGCAAGATATTGGACAACAAAGAACGTTATTTATCTTATTAACACATTCATATAAAAAACCAATTCATTGTTCAAAGAAATCATGTAAAAGACGAGATATTCAGCGTGAAACTATGCGTGGTTTATCAATGACATTTGCTGCTTATTTTCTCCCATTGAAATTTTTTGTTATAAATTTTCTCTAACAGGCAAAGAAATTGATATGACTGTTTATTTAAGTTTAATTGATGATGATTTTACGGGTATTGCTGCATGGACAGTTTCATATCCATTTGATGTTATTAAAAGTCGATATCACGCAACACGTGATCATAGATGTGAAATTGTTTGAAATCGTGCAGTTAAATCATTTCGTACTATACTTCACATACAAAACACAGATAACGCACAGATGTTTTTTCAACTTAGAACGAATTTATCTAGAGAATGGTAAGAGGGAAAGATTTGTAATTGTTAACAAATATGTAAGTGAACAAAATCCATAATATTTGACAGTTTGAACCTCAACTCTTTAGTTGTTTGGATTTTATGATTAAAATACTCGTGGATAACACACAGAAAAAGAAGGTCCTCGGTTTTTGGTGGGTGGAAAAGAAATGATAAATTCTGTAAATCACTTCATGTTAATGAATTTTATGAGAGAGGGTTTTGTAGCTGAAAGTCAGGGCTATCTTTTTCATGAAAACAAAAGATACATACACAAAAAAAAATGAGCGAGCTATTGATAAAACATTAAGTAACGCACAGACATGAATTTTCATAAAAATTTCCCAAATCTAAAATTTTGTTTCGTATTTGGAAATATTGATTTAGAACATCAAAGTAATAATGTTTAGACTGCCACTATTCTTTTTATGCTAATAATGCTTCCATTATTGTTCAAGATAAAATAGCGTTCGAAATATTAAAAGACATAAAATAACCTTTTTAAGATATTTTTGCACAAAATACATTGACTTTTTACTGGTAGCTTCTGTTTTTTCGGATAATTATTAAAAAAAAAATTAGATAGATCGACGTAGAATATACGAAAACCTATATAAAAACTTTGAATGAGTAAGATCGATTTTGATGTGTTCGAGAACTTGAGTACTCAACTTCAATCGTGCTTCTCGATCGTTAGCTGTTTTGGCTGTTCAATAGAACAGCATTTCATGATCGATGATTTACAAATTTGAAAAGACATAAAAAAAAGATCGATGTTCCTATCCATGTTATTGTGATAATAATAAATTGTCAATGTATTAGACAATAGTTAATATAATCATTCCAACATTAACTATTTTCTTTTCTAATATAACACTTTTATTAGGTGTTACTTTTCAGAAACGTCGTTTTATTTTGAAAACTCATTGAAGAATGTATGGTAAAATGATTATTCAATTACGTTGTGTATCATCATGACTTCTTGTATATATTTTCTTATTCATAATTCTTATATTAGCTCATTTATATCATCTACTATCAGAGAAGAAAAAACTTCATTGAGTTTGTTTAACATAAGAATAAAACGAAAAGAGAATTTTGTTGTATATGATTGTAGAATGTATAACAACAAAACGAACAAAGTCAATCACACTGATTGAGTGATCTAATAAACTATGGAACATTTAATACAATCTAAACAAAATATATTCGAAACGAATGTCAAATTTCAACATTAGCTAAACGAAAGTTCATTAACAAAAATTTCCAGTTGACACTGAATAAAGGTGAATTAATCAAGTGAAAAGCCATAACCACAAAGGAACTTGTCGAATTAAAAGTGAACTAAGAGATATGATTGCTGTCTGTTTCTATGTAGTAACACAAATCACATGAATTAATTCACATTCAATTCGATCACTCGCTTTGAGGCCAAAAACGAAAAATTTGTCTAAACATCTGCATAGAATACAGACAATTACCTGAATAGTTTAATAAAAACAAATTAGCACTCATCTTAATCAGTGTTTTTCATAACACTATCATTTGATCTCTATTAGCAATATCTCATTAAAAATCAGTTGAAATATTTATTGATTATACTTTTATGCAACAGACTTTACTTAGCTGAATCAAATAGAAAATGACATTATGATATCACAAGTTTTTTTAAAAATTTTTTCGATAATTGTTCAATTGTGAAATGTGTTAATCAAATTTATGTCATATGATCATATTGAATTTATTCTAATTCTGGTAAAGATGATTCATGAACATATATAAGGACAAGAACCGAACTATTCTTTTATTTAGCAAATTTCTAAAAGATATTTCGTTCTGACCGCAATTCACATATTGCACTAACAATATAAGCTTCAAGTCTATTGAGAAAAAAATCATGTTGACATTCGGCATAACGCATCAAGAAGAATAGTGGCACTTTGAGCATGATTGCGACGACGTAAATTGATTGATATTCGTCGAAAATTTCATAGGTACAACTAACATAGTACATAAAACAAGTGCCAACAAAAAGAACTGGCAAAAATGAAGCTTCGATTAGCCAGCGACGAAAGTATATATATATTATAGAAGAATCGTTATTGACCAATCTGAACGATTTACAGAAAAATGCGAATAGGACATAAACGAATACCAGTACCATTTCTTTTATCAATATAATAATCCAGTATACATATCTTTCTTCTAGTTCATATGACCTGAGTCGAAGATTTTCCTGAATGACACGAATGAAACTGCGAAAAGAAGGAAACAATACGTAAAAAATTATACAGAAAGACACCACAGCAGAATAAATGTAGAGAAAAAAAAGGTGAATTAAACATGTAACCATGGAATGAGTCACTAACCACGATCGTATGTCAACAGTGCATGATATTTGTTTGTCGTTAGTTGAGGACAATCCAACTTGTAATGGTAGGAATGTTTCATTTTTCAACAACATTGATAAAATCTATCGATGAAAATAACGAAACAAGTATATTTATAAAACATATAATCGATATACGACTTTTTTTTTCCAATGATCAATGTCGTTTAAAGAAAAAAAACACCTTTATATATTATAAACATACTCGTTGGCCGACGGTTATATTCAATTTTGTTTCCTCTCTTTCGCAAATAACAGTCTGCAAACAGGCAGACAATAAATAATAACCTGACGTGTTCGTTCAATCGGACTGACAATCATAAACTAATATCGGTTTCAAAATCAAAAAAGGGTGAGTATTTTTAGAATAACTTTTGATAAAAACAAGATAGGGAGCTGCGGTTCTCACCGTTGGAAAGAGGCGATGAAACTGCATCGATTCGTAGATTTCAGATTTTTTCTGACAAGTATTTTAAGGGTTCCTCGACAACTTTTTAAAAGACAAAGCGTTATATAATGTAAATATTATGGACTTTTAATTTTCAGGAGGGCACTAGAATCACTAACTAAAGACCTATCAGCTATACAAGCCCGACGTTATTATCTTTAGCTAATCATGAGTTATGAACACGTTACTGTGTGTTGTCGGTCAATTTTTAACGAAAAAATCCTTTTTTTTCCTTAGTTTTTAATAAAAAATCAATTTCTTCTACGTGTAAAATCTTTGAGTCTTTAAAAAACTTCTTGGGAAGACCTTTAAAATACTTGTCAGAAAAAATCTGAAATATACGAATCGATGCAGTTTCATCGCCTCTTTCCAACGGTGAGAACCGCAGCTCCCTATCTTGTTCCTATCAAAAGTTATTCTAAAAATACTCACCTTTTTTTTTATTTTGAAACCGATATTAGTTAATATTAACGAATCAATAGATTTCATACAAATTACTTTTTTTTTATTTAAGATGATATATGGTGTGTATTACCAGCAGCATTTCCTGAAAATTATGAATTAATAATACGTGATCCATCACGTCCAAAATTTATTATATCTTATCCATGTAGTTTATTAAATTTAATCATTAAAGATCATTATACAAATGATCAATATCATGAATTAGTTGATAAAGATAAACACATTTATGAAATTTGTTTAGAAAATTCAATTTTTTTTTAAATTTATGGTTCTTATTTAGCTATGATATTACCAGCATCAAAAGAAGAAGGAAAACGTATAAAGAAAAACGTTATTGTATATTTAATATGGATGGTACTATAGCTGAATTAAAAGGTTTTGAAGTAAAACCTAATGGTGAATTACAATTAATAAAAATATTTCAAGCAAGTGTTTTTGAAGCATTTCTTAAAGGAACAATACTTGAAGAATGTTAGAATCATGTTGCAACTATTGCTGATTATTGGCTTGATATGTTATATTCACATGCAAAAGATATATCAGATAAAGAATTATTTAAATTAATATCAGAACGAAGAACTATGTCAAGGATGTTATCAGATTATGGAGAACAAAAATCAACATCAATTTCGACAGCTAAAAGGTAAAATTACTTAACGCATTATTCAGATAATCTTAACGATGATCCTAATATCATCAAATCATCATTGGCTGCTACTTTTGAAGCATGTCCCGTCGGATTTGTACAAGACCAATCCGACAGGCTCTAATTAAAAGAGCTAATACTTTCTCATATGTTCATGAATGAATAAAAGAACTTACTCAAAACAAAAAAAAGAATTAGTGCTTTTAAAGAATCAAAGTCAAAAATAAGATGTTCATATTCCATTTTGACTAATTCTCACTCATGTCAGAGATGGGATCGATTCATGTTTTTTGAAGCTGAACCGGTCTTATCTCTGACCCATATATCAGATCATCCAATCAATCGCAAATAGATTAAATCTCGTGAAAAGTACTAACGAAGAGATGAAATCTTGCGGCCAACTTGCAGTTATGACTGTTGTACTAGATTTTCTATCAAGGGAACGATATTCATAAAAAGCCGAACAAACGAATTTTGGCCTAAAACTTTGCCCATAGCAAAAAAGACTAGATTTTTTTGTATTTTTGGTGGAATATCATTGTTTTTTGTGAATTTCATATCCCAAGAAGAGAGCACTATTTTTTGGCTGAAATTTTTAGGAGATTCTAATGACTCCAACAGCTGTCTATAGGTAAAGTTTTAGGCCAAAATTCGTTTTTCAGGTTTTGTTTTATATACCGTTCCAAAGGTAAAAGGCCAGTGTAATGGCCATAACTTAAAAAGAGCAGCGTATGGAAAAGAATCCTTCTAGGTTTTTTCTAGTCTCAGTAGACCCTATGTAATGACTGTGGTCTCATCGCAAACGCGAGCTATTACCTCAACTTGTTCCTCATAAATAAATCTTTGCTAGATCAACTTGAATGTATACTATTAATTATATAAGTCTGAATAATTCATTGAAAATTTTTTTTTGTTTTTTTTTTAGACTTGCTGAATTTCTTGGTGAAGATATTATTAAAGATAAAGGTCTTTATTGTCGTTTTGTTATAGCTAATGTACCACGTGATGCACCTATTACTGAACGTACTATTCCATTAGCTATATTTCAATGAGAACAATCTATACGTAATCATTATTTACGTAAATGGTTACGTCCGCCTGCCGGAGCTATTTCAAATAGCTACGGGGTCCTAATGCTCATGCTAGCAAAGGGAGGCGCCCTTGGGCTGCCGGTAGCCAACTTGTCTTATTCCTAGGATAGTCCCCTATATCTATAGGACACAAAACTTTTACGGCTAACGAAAAAGATCAAGAACAATGTGTAAATACACGCAAATCAGTTCTTTTTGCTGAATAGAATGAAATTGTTACGTTTATCAATTGTTGATAATTTGGATATACGTGAAATTCTTGATTGGAATTATTATATTGATCATTTTAATAGTTGTATACAAAAAATAATAACTATTCCAGCTGCTTTACAAAATATTCGTAATCCAGTATCACGTGTTCCACATCCTGATTGGTTACATAAACGTTTAGTTGAAAAAAAAAAACTTTATATAAACAAAAAATATATAACTGATGTATTTAATTCAATTAATAAACAAACTTATATAGATAATAATTAACAACAATTAATATTAACAAACAAATGATATTGAAAATATAGGTAAATAAACTGAATCATCAATAAAATTAATAAAAACAAAACAAAAACAAAAACATTAAAATGTAAACGTGATGAATTAAATGATAAAACAATAACACATCAATGGAGAATTATTTTTGGTCCACCACCATCATTTGATCAAATAACAAATCAATATATTAAATGGTTTAATTATCAAAAACATAAATGGAATATACAACATGAACAATGACATCAATCATCAATTATATCAGATAAAATTCAATTAACAACAAAATAAAAACCTTCAACCGATGGTAAAATGGATACATATATACGTCGTGCAGCTGAACATTTACATACACATCCATGGCAAATAATATCATATGAATTAACTGATCAAATAGGTATATTTAAAGCTTGATGTTTAGTTGAACATGAATTAGTACAAATTGAAATAAAAATTTCAAGAATATTTTATGTTAATTATTGTACATCAATTGAAAATAATAATAATAATAATACACATGAACAATTCAAATCAATACAACGATCAATTGGTTATAAACGTACAATAAATAATTATTCAACACGTGTTAATCGTTTATTATCACGTTGTTCACAAGCTTATTATTTATGTGAATATCGTTTAGATGAAAATCATTTTCTTAATTATTATACATATATAATAACAGAGTTAAGTAATCCAAATATAGGTGTTTATGAAATGAATGTACCCTTAGATTTTCATTTACTTATTGTACTTGATTGTATATGTTCATTACATAAAGAACATCATTGTACAAATATACTTTCAAATTTATATCATTTTAATCAATTAGAATTTTTATCATTATCAGAACAAACATATTTACAATCTGGTACATTACAATGTATCTATCTATATATATAAAGAAGAATGTTTGTCTGTTTGTTTGTTTGTCTGTTCGCTATGCATTCCCAAACGGTACGAGCAAATGCAACCAAACTTTCCAAGAATGTTCCTCTCACCCAGGGGAAGGTCGACGTCTACTTTTTTTTCAAAAAAGTTGGTCCTTCGTCCGGAAAAAACCTGCCTATATTGCTAACCAATCAGATTGCAGTATTCGGTACTGTAGAAGTACTGTTGAGTACCACTTCGTGAACACACAGAAATATGGAACCAGAGGTTTTCGAGGATGGTGAGTTCGAATCTGGTGTCCATTTGCCTCGAAATCTGGTTGGTTGTTTGGAAACCAATAGGAATTCAGCTCTTAAGAAAATAGACCCAAACACTTATTATTTCAGGGAAATGATGGGGCAGGGGGTTTTTAGAGGTGGTGAGTTCGAATCTGAGGTTCATTTGCCTCGAAATCTGATTGGTTGTTTGGAAACCAATAGGTACTCAGCTCTTAAGAAAACAGATCCAAATACTTATATTTTCAAGGAAGTGATGAGGCAAGGGGTTTTTAGAGGTGATGAGTTCGAATCCGAGGTCCATTCGCCTCGAAATCTGATTGGTTGTTTGGAAACCAATAGGAATTCAGCTCTTAGGAAAATAGACCCAAACACTTATACATTCAAGGAAATGATGGGGCAGAGGGATTTTAGAGCGATGAGTTTGAATCTGAGGTCCGGTTGCCTTGAAATCTGATTGGTTGTCCGAAAACTCATGGGGATTCAGCTGCTAAGAAACAAGCTAATCAAAATTGCGTTTTCAGGAGAAAAGTTAGGTAAGGGCTTCTAGAGGCAATGAGTTCGGATTAGGGATTCAAGCACTGAATACAAGTAGGGTATGGAAGCGAGTATCTTCTTCTGTTTATATAAACAACAATGTTTGTCTGTCTGTTCTTTGTGCATTTGGTTTCGCTAATAACTAGCGCCATCAAACTTTCCATGGCATACCCCTTAGTCTAGAGAAAAATTGAGACGAGATTGGCGTGACAGACAAGGAAAGGAAGATAATCTAGAAACTCCTTGCCTTTCTCATGGCCAATTTTACGTAGCATGCTCAAGAGTTGGAACTGGGAAGAATTTGTATGTTTTTGCACCTGATGCGAAAACCAAGAACATTGTGTATCAAACAGCTTTGCAATAAGAATTGTATTTCATTAGACACAGTCTTTTCCTAATAAAAGTAGTCGATCAAACAAAAAGAACATCGAAAAGGATGAAAACATTTTTAAAAGTTAAAAATGACGAAAGCAACAATTGAAAAGGAAAAGTGATCTGAACACATTTCGCGATATCGAAGCCCGATAACTGATAGGAGATCATAACGATGTCGTTTTCTAATATGTCAAGTATGTATTATCAAATTATTTCAACCAACATCGGGTACTTCCGCTAGTTTATATATATATACATATCAAGATAATGGAAAATTATTTATTGCTTTATTTATACCAGATAATTGTCGTGTATTTATTGGTATTTTAGATAATATTAGAGAAAATCATATGTCAAATTTAAATAAATTATTAAAAAATCAATGTGAAAAAAGACTACAAAAAGGTATTGATACAAATTTATTACCAATAAATGAACATCAATTTCAAGTTAAAGTTGATACAGATATAGAAAATATTTGGAAAAGATTTAATAAAATTATTTCAAATCGTAAGTAAAATTTTTAATTAACTAAATAAATAGAATTCTAAATTGGATTACAAAAAAATTCATCTTTTTTTTTCTTTTACTATACATGAAAATTCGACTGAACAATCTGATATACAGAGGTGCAGAATCTTTCAAAAAATCAAAAATTCCCCCCCCCCCCTCTGCGGAAATTTTCTCCAAAAAATTTCCCCAAAGCTCTTTTTTCTTAGCCACTCACAGATCAACCTGACATAAGAGGACTTCGCTGCATCGTCCTATGATAAAACTTCAAACTCGACTCGTCTCCAAAAAATTGGATGTTCTGAGGGGGTCCCTTAAATAATTTCATTGTTTTAGTTTTGATCGTTGTAAAGAAGGTATTGATTATGATGGAACAACAAGTACATTTAGTGGTACAGTTGAAGTGAATCACAGTTTCTTATGTCATTACAGGTAAACAAATAAAAAAATAGTCAATGTTGTTACTATTCTTTTCTTTGGTTACATATATAATTCACATGTACAGATAGTTAAATTGAAAACAAAAGAAACATTAGTCATCAACATTATTTAACATACACATACAAAGTTTAGATACACATACAAAATTTACATAAAATACAAAATTTACATTAAGTTGTATTTACAACAATGGTAAATATATATACTAAGAGAAAAATATATTACATCTTTTTCGGATTTTTTTTGCATTATTGCCAATGGTTGTTTGTACTTCATCAATATTTATTATAATGAACTTAAGCACGATGAAAGATACAAGATTTCAACGTATAATATCAATTGGTGGAAGGGTGTGGGTGTGTGGGTGTGGGTGTGTGGGTGTGGGTGAGGGTGTGGGTGTGAGTGTGGGTGTGATTAAAGAGATCCCACACCCACATCCACCCACACCCACACATCCACCCACACACCCACCCACACCCCACACACCCACACCCGCCAATTGTTAGATCCTACTGAATTTTTGACAACTGCAGCTTCAAGTACGAGCTTATTAATGATTTTCATTGATGGTCTTGAAAATAATCATTTAGGGCAAATTGAAAACAATAAGATCGCAATGATGTAATTCAAAAAAATAGGTTTTTTTTCCTTTTTTTTCTTTTTGATGTAATTAAAACAAAAATCCTGTTGTACGTAGTAAATCTCTTAAGTTTAAAGAGGAAGGTGTTTGTGATGTTGTGAAAGATGTATTTTTACTTTGGTATAATGCATTACGTCTTCTTGTTAAATCTTGTGATCAATTAAAAGTTGATAAAAAACATTTTCTTCATTTTTGATGAAAAATGTTTATATTCATCAATGTCATCAAATACAAATGTTATGGATACATGGACTGTTTCTTATACACAAATATTACTTGATTTTGTTAAACAAGAAATGGATGAGAAGTATTTATATTTGAAGAAAATAAAAATGAATTCTTTTTTTTAGCTTATCGTTTATATACAATAGTACCTTGTCTTGTTAAATATATTCATATGTCAACTAATTGGTATGTTAAATTAGACAAGAAACGTTTTAAGGTAAGAATAGAACGATTTTTGCCTTCATTAGCCATGCAAATCACTCTAAGTTTAATGATTTGCTTTTCCTCAAGGCTAAATAAATAGTCATCTTATTGGTGAAAGATGAAACAATTTATTTTTTAGGGTGAAACAACATTGGAAGATTGTCTTGTTTCGTTAAATGTTCTTTGTTATATTCTTTTAACAATGGCAAAATGAATGGCACTATTTACACCATTTTTAGCTAAATATATTTATCAAATATTAAGAAAATTAATGACACAGTTATTATCATCTTCTTCTCAACAAGAAATAAGTGTTCATTTTCAAGTGATTCCAAAATCACAGTTAGTTTTATTTTAATTGTCATTAATTTAAATCAAATAGAAATTTTTTTATTTTATTTAGAAAAACATTAGTAAATAATGATATTGAACGTGCTGTAGCTGTTGCTCAAACAGTTATTGGATTAGGTAGAACTGTACGAGAACGAAAAATTATTCCAATGAAAGTAAATTGAGATAATTCATTTCATATAATTATTCGAAAATGATTTCTCTTTAGTATCCATTACCTGAATTTGTTGCTATTCATAAAGATGTGTCAGTACTAAAAGATGTACAATCATTAGAAGATTTTGTTCGAGAAGTATGTCTAATCCTTCTTTTATCGTTAACATTTATTTTTATTATAAAAGGTTTAAATGTACGTAAGGTAACATTATCTCAAGATCGTGAACTTTATGGAGTTGAAATACATGCTGAACCAAATTTTCCGACATTAGGGAAAAAAGCTGGAGCTAAAGTTAAATTAGTAACTGGAAAATTCGTGGAATATCTGACACAGATATTGAAAAATTATTATCAAAAGGTGAAAGTGAAAGTCCATTAACAACAATTGATGATGTATCAATTGAATCTGAAGATGTTCATATTGTTTATCGTGTTGCCAAGCAAACACAATTTGAAGCTACTACTGAACAAGGAGTACGACTTTTTCTTTCTTCTTCTTAGATTTTGATGTTTGTTGTTTATTAATAGTTTGTTGTTTTACTTGATTATACAGCTGAGGCATCATGAGGGACGGCGCGAAGAGGTCAGAGCAGGAGAGGGGCATCTTGAACATCGGAGCCTCCAATCTGAAAAAGTCAAAATTGAAGAGCAAAAAAAAAAACGTTCCCACCGTTGAAATTCGGAGGAAGTCTCCAAACTTTTTTGGTTGCCATCGCTTTCTTTTCGAAGCAGACTTTTCGACATTCCTTCGACTACTCTGACCGCACTTCATGCAATATAATACCGAGGGTTCCAACAAAAAATCTGATTTTTTCTTTTTTTTTCAAAATTTTATTCTTCGTTCAGTTATCGTTAACATCCACGTATCACATATTGCTATTGATGACAGATGCATCTAGTTATAATACTAATTTCTCGCTTAAACACAAACTTAGATTATTGATGTAGTTCAAAAATCTCAAGAACCGAAACAAAAATAGTAGAATAGATTTCTTCAAACTTAGATTTTTGCCAAATTTAGGGTCGATTGTCTACTATTTTTCTTCAAAATCGGAGAAAATTGACTACGGTAGTTCTCCAAAATCGGAGAAGATTGTCTACTATGGCTCCCCAAAATTGGAGAAAATTCTGTACTGTAATTCTGCAACGTCCAAGAAAATTGTGTACTTTAACTCTCCAAAATCGGAGAAAATTGTGTACTGTAGTTCTTCAAGATCGGAGAAAATTGTTTATTGTATTTCTCGAAAATCGGAGAAAATGGTCTACCGTAGTTCTCCAAAATCGGAGAAGACTGTCTACTGTACTTCTCCAAAATTGGAGAAAATCGTCTACGGTAGTTCTCCAAAATCGAAGAAAATGGTCTACCGTAGTTCTCCAAAATCGGAGAAAATTGTGTACTGGGGTTCTCCAAAATCGAAGAAAATTGTCTACAGCAGTTCTCCAAAGTTGGAGAAAATTGTCTACTGTAATTCTCCAAAACTGGAGAAATTTGTCTGCTGTAGTTCGCCAAAATCAGAGAAAATTGTTTATTGTATTTCTCCAAAATCGGAGAATATTGTCTACTGTAGTCCTCCAAAGTTGGAGAAAATTGTCTACTGTAGTTCTCCAAAATTGGAGAAATTTGTCTGCTGTAGTTCTCCAAGATCGAAGGAAATTGTGCACTTTGATTCTTCAAAATCGGAGAAAATTGTCTACGGCAGTTCTCCAAAATCGGAGAAAATCGCCTAATGATCCCGCAAATTTGGAGAGAATTGGCACTACCAAAATTTTCAAATTCGGAGAAAGCTCCAATCAAAATTTTCCAAAGCAGGAGGGAGGTGACCCCCCTATCCCCCCCCGGTCGTGCCGTCCCTGCCTCATCCTCAATTAGGTGCTTGCCTATAGACTAGTTCCTGCCGTTTGATAATAAAATGTTCATTCGCGTATCTGATCATTTATAAAATCGATTAGTTTTCAATCTCTGAATGTAACTAAAACTATAGGACCTTCTAGATTTGTAAGTTTAACATGTCTAACATACGTCTTCTATGACTTTAATTTTCCCATTATAAAATACTATAGATTATTAACTTCAAAATATTTTTAAAATTAAAAAAAAACAAATAAGTTTCGTAATTTTAATAATCGTTTTCACTAATTTGATTAGGCTGTTGAATCATCACAAAGAGAAACAAGCCCAGGTTCAGTTGAATTCAAAATGAACTCTTCTCGTTCTTCATCACAATCACGAGTAACAAACTCATATGATTTAAATCAGGTCAATATCAATTAACTATAATGACTTTATCATTAATTTTGTTGTGATTGTTCTTTTAGGGATCTGTTTCTAGTGCACGTCAACGTCGTCGAGAATATAAATTACAATCATCAACTGAATATTTAACATCACAAGTTAGTCTAACAGAAGAAACGGAAAAGAAAAAAGAAGGGTAATACTATATCATAGAAATCTTATTTGTCTATTTTTGATTTTCAAATTCTAGAGAAAAAGATATAAATGATCTCGTTTTTATGTTAACTGCTACATTACAACTACCACCAACAAATATTCATGATTCAAATGAATTATCATATAGTAGTAGTAATACTAATGATAAAAATACAACTGAAAATAGATCTTCTCAAAATAAAATATGGTCATCAGATAATCGAAAAATATCTGATACATTATATAAAACAAATCATATTTATCAACGTTGGAAACTAATACAAGAGTAAATTTATTTTAATAAAAAACAAAAAAAAAAGAAAGAAAGAAATTTATTTTTAGAAGTTGTCTTCGTGAAATTAGTCTACATAAATTACGACGTGTTTTAAAAATAGTTGAGAATGCTAGTGAACCACAAATGATGGTTAGTAAATATATAAAACATATATATATATACGAAAATAAACCATTTATTCAATTAATTATTTCATTTTAGCAAGACATGATTGAAGAACTCGGTGAAGATTTATACAATAGATATTCTACACAAATATTTTTATTAAAATTTTATGAAGATAATTTTCTTCTACATCAATAAAAAATGTTTGTCACTATTTCGATCATACTTAGTTATGTATAAATTGAGTGAACAAAAAAAGACAGTGAAGATTGTATATAGTACCAAATTTTTATATTGAAGAATATACATGTATATTTTTTTGTATTTATTTTAATGATATATTTCAGGTTTTCTTATATTTTGCAATAGAAATTTGGATTTTGTTGCACTGATTTTATTGTGCTCAGATTAATTATGTAAATATGCTTTATTTTTCTTTGTGAAATTGGTTACGATAAATAGGACTTACAAAAAAACAACAATACGAATATTGTCTATCATGTGATTATTCATTTATTGATCTTTCAGTAGATGTCATATTTACCGTCATTTTTTTACTTGCTTAACTTATCGATGTTGAAGTTTCCTCGTGCTTATCATTCCAGTTCCTGATCGATGAGATCATCACACATAGTGTGAAATTGTAAAATAATTCTATAAATTTATGTGTCAAGCACAGTTAAATGATCCTTCATGAAATCTTACTATTTAACGTTCACGCTCAGTTTTTATTGCGATGTTTTAAAACATACCGAAGAATCAAATAATACTATTTCGATCTGAAAATTTTGTCCACAAACAGGTCAAATGACTAGTAGAATATCCTCAAAATTTCAGTTGACAAGAATGTTCCTTGGTCAAGATATTGAATTGCTAAAAGAAATGGTCATTTGCCACAAAAATCGAGTTCACTTTAAAATTCAATATCTTGACAAAAGAACATTCTTTTTGGCTGAAACTTTCAGAATATTCGACCTATTTATGGTCGAAATTTCAGGTCAAAAATACTGTTATTTGATTTTTCGGTAAATATCTAAAGCTGGATCAAAAACTCAGTAAACCAGTAATATTTCAGCTCTAGAGGCCCATAGGCAAGAGCCCTTATAGAATTTTTCTAATCTTCTTCCTGTGAGAAAAATTTTCTAACCCTTACCATGCTCTACTCTGCAGGACACGATTATCCTGCACATCTATGGTATACATTAGTTTTAATAAGACTGCTTTTTTAATAATCAGTTCAAAACAATCATCATACTTTGAATCTTAAAGATTCCTAAGTTTATATAATATGAGATTTGAAACTTTTTACTCATCAAAAGAAAATGATCAGCATTGTACATATGGTGATTAATTCTATTGAACGAGAAAAAAAAATTTACGCTCAAAATTATATCTCAAATTATTGTTCATAAATTTGAAAGGATGCAGGTAT